GGGGTAAAGGGCGAAATGGTCTGGGGCGTAACGATTTTGGGGCGAAACGTCTGTAATTCGATTTTACATGAGTTTGGAAATGTTCATTTTCGTGGTCGACAAAATGGTCACTTGTCACACAAGACTCTGCCAATGCAAAAGGCAAAACAATCAAACCAAGTTATTCCTTATCAACTGTACTTATAGTATAGCAGTGTTTAAAGCATAACGTCACAGCAGAGACGAATGTAAGCTAGAAGGCGACCTTAAATAATCATATGTACAATTAAAACATGCCACACGTATTATACGTCTCTGGTCACAGCATCCAAATCGGGACACTTTTTTAGTGAAATATTGATGTATTTCATACCATAGTGCCGATCCAAGAAAAAAATATCCAAAAATACATCGACATATTTTATTTTTTTGCCCGGCCTAATAGGCCTTTAGGCCCAAACTCTTAAAAAACATCATTATAATATTATTCAACGTCAGATTCCAGGTGCTTTCGAATAGGCCTAAGTGATATCGTCCATTTCCGGTACGGGAACGCTCCTAGCTGACTGATCCATCCTAGGGCTGATTGGCACTTCCGCCTTATTTTTACGTGGAAGACAACATGGTGCTCCTTGAGAATGACGCGGTATGGTGTTTTTTTTATACTGAAATATCTCTCGTTGGAGTTATTTTCAACCTCATTTTCAACCTTTGTTTCTATATCACTTACTTATTTTGTGTTTCGTTTCAGTTTCTCAGTGAACTCACCCGGTTATTCCAGAAGTGTCGGTCGTCTGGCTCGATTATGCTGACGATGAAGAGATGTAAGTTTATCACTGCCAGTTCACTGGTGTACATATATGCTAACGCGTCTGTGTGCTTTACGAAATAGCAGAGAAAAGTAAATAAAAATGCAATGCTTAAGTCATATATCCATCCGTATATGTAAACTAATGACTTGAGAGTAACGTCAGAGACCGGGTTGCAGATAAAACGAAATTCGTTCCATACTGTACATATTCTGTCTTTATACAAACTGTATTATGCTATTTAAAGATTTTACATCATGGTGTGAAGTGCCCATATTTCGTTTCATGTGAAACCACATTATAGCCGGGGAATATGTACGTCACAACGATGAAACCATTTATTACAATTTCATTGAAAGGGTTTGTTCTGCTAAGTTGCTAACATCTTTAGCAAAGAGCCGAAATATCTTTTTAGTAAAGAAGCACAAAAAATGTTTCTTAATAACTTCCTTTTAGATTTTTATCTTTATTTTACATTTGGAAATGGTGCAATATATATGATGGGTACCCTAACCTATATCACTAAAAGTCGAATTAATGTTGAGGCTTAATGTTTTAGCATAAATTGCTGAAATTTCACTGATAATTTCACATGAAAGGTTATTATTTTCTTGATAAAGTTAATATGTGAATTTTTCAGGACAGAAAAACACCTAATTAACACAATAAGGAGTACTCTAAAAACAGCTATAAACAATTCATCATGAATTAAGGTTTGCCTCAATGTGATTGTTAAGAGAGGTGTTGCATTAAAATATCAATGCGAGCAATTCAGATGCTTTCATTGATTCAATAATATTAACATAGGACTTAAAATTCATAGCACACAGGATGTATGATGTGGCCTCAGGAAATTGAAAAATGGATTTAGCTATAACCATTATTTTATAGCCACCAGGTACATAATATACATGTAGTTATAAGTCATTCTGGCAAATGATACCTGTACACTATTAGTTTGATTGGCTAGTAAACACCTGGGCCCAGTTGTTCAAAAGGTGTTAGCTTAAACAGTGATTAGCGCAAATATTAATTTTTGAGTAACTTTAAAACACAGCCATTGAATTTAGTTACAACTTTCCAGATATCAAATATTTAGTAGAGGGATTTTACATGCAAAATTGTGAGATTTTACCTTGTATATTGACGAAATTATTAAAGGTTGAAAAATGTCGTTTAACATTGTTAAGCTAACCACCTTTTGTACAAATGGGCCCAGGTCATTGATTTATATCAACCTAGAAACTCACCCTAATGCATTGTCAGCACAAAGATGTTTTATCAAGACCATAATGGAAATGGTTTCAAAAACATCAATTTTTGTTGGCTGCACAATTTGACTTGGCCAATGTGTTTAGTGATTTACCTGTGATCATTTCAAATAGCTGGAATAAAACGGTGAAAAATAGAATTCCTCAAAAAACTTAGTCTTTATAATTAAGTATTCATATCGCAGGAGAAAAAAGCCAAAATGTCACTCGAAAACAATTTATGCCTGATAATTTGTAATTCAATTAGCAATGCAGTGTTAAAGGTTAACAAACTAGTTAATATTTTGTCACCATAATGTTTCTGAATGTACCCAAGAATTGTCTGTCCAATGTATTTTATTTATTAGCCCGTCTGGTGACAGGGTCAGAGGAAACTCTTATTATATATCTGTAAACATCTCATATAAAAGTTTGATTTTATTTGAAGATGATGGCAGAACCAAACCAGAGCCAAGGAAAGGGAAGCTGCCAGAACCAAGTGAATATAAATGTCTAATCAGAGCAAACTTAGGAAACAAGAAAATTACTACAGTTGTAAGTGACCGATTCTCACATACATGTACATACATGTACACATCCAAACACAGCACGTAAATAGCGGTACAATCTATAGACCTCTAACACTGTGTATGGTAAACATTTCAAGTGTTACACTTTGGTACTTCTTATGTATTATACCAACACAGAATCCTGGACTGAAATTCTTATGTCAAAGGAGGTTACTTATATGTAGGGGAGATAACCCCGGTAGTTCTGTTTAATGGCAGAAACTTGAAGTAAAATCCTTACATTTAGAAGAGATGACTTGACTGATAATGTTTATCATATTGGCAACAACAGGCAGGGACACCAATAGTAATACTTGTACAAGAGAGATATCTCTGTTAGTTCTACTTAGTGACAACATTAATATTTTTATCAAATTATTACTTATCCTTAAAGGTTCTATTTATTTCACTATATATGAACATTCTGTTTTCTCGTCTAGGTAAACCCAAAAGATGTAAATAGATTCCACATGGTAAGTTTGTCTTTGTTTTTGTACCAACATGTCTGCATCCAGTTGAGGTCAAATATCTTCTGTGAAATTAAAGTGTAATCCATATTTGTACATGTGCTACTGATCGGATAAGATATTCATTTTTTTTGTTGACTATTCATCATTTATACTGGAGTTGCTTCAGAGGCAATTTAAATTAAGACATCAATGACAGCAAAGCTTTGTAAGTGTTCTGTAATACCTGTACTTGGTCCAAAGCATAGAACCCATGTGTCGCTCTACTAACATGTTTATTCTTCACTGGTAAAATTGAAGGCCATGCAATCAAACTTGATTACCTCCCTTGAACCAAAGAATTAAAAAGAAAATGTTTTTAGTAAAATTTCCATGAATTTTTTTTTTTTAAATGTCCATTGTTAGGTTAAGAAATATTTGTCATGTCTATTTAATTTTCTCTGTTGCTGCAGGCTTATACCAATGTACTAAAGGGAAACATGGATGGACTCAAGAAGAAGGACAAAAAGTCTGCAGCTAAGAGCAAGGCCAAGGCTACTCAGTGACCTGTTACAGTGACATGTTTTACAGGAAAACCAGTCTCAGACACAGGACTTTACAAGGCTTAGAAGGATTCAATTTAAAGGGAATCCCATGTTTGTTGCATGAGGGTCACCTTTGCTATAAGTATGGTCTTCTGTATCCATCCTAGACTGGGACACATGTCTATCCTTGTTTAATCTTGATTGTCGATTGAAACATCTTATCTGTCAACTTGTGAGGCTGGAACATTTTATACACTGCATAAGTAACAGTGACCTGTGAACATCACTGTTTAACAGCTAATGAGGAAAATCACATGAACTTAAGTTGACCAAAGACCAATATTTTGAACCATTTCCAGTGGTCCGAGAGCACAGTACATTTGTACATGCAATGAAAACCCCTGTGTAGTAGTTGTGAAAATCTGTTTTCCTTCATGTTTTCCTGAATTTTGAAGAGTCCGCATTTAGCTGTTATCCTCTCAAATCCATTAGAACTAAACAGGGGTTTACTCATGAAAATGTAATAGTTCTGAATTGAATTAAGTAAATGTGTAAGTCTATAACAAAGTGTATTTGCCTGGTATATTGATTAAAAGTTGTAACAGGTGAAGGTATATTTGATTGAGAGAAGTGCTCTCAAGGAGAAGTGTAGGGTGTGTGTGTGTGTGTGTGTGTGTGTGTGTGTTAGTTACTATGTGGTCTGTTTAAGACAGAGAGATGTCACCACCTTTAGCAGGTTGTGAATATTCTACTATAAAACTGGAAATTCTCCTGTGTAGAAATGTTAACATTGTGAATCTTCAAACCGATTGTGATAATTGGTAATTTTTATTTTAACAATGGTTCTAAAATTATATCGAATATATATACAATGTACATGTATATCTATATAGAGCACATGTATATGGATATTTTCATGCTAATTCACTCCCCACAAGAAACATGAGCATTTCCGAACTGCGATAATTTCCACGTTTACAATGTGTAAACTTATTCCTCATTCATTATTGTACCGATAATTGATAGTTTACTATTATATACATAACTGTTTTATCTTATTCTGACTCAAGATCATGAAGTCATGAAGTAGCTTTCTGTCTTGTATAATTGTATGTGATCGTGTATTGGTCTAAATAACTTAGTTTATTGGTAAAAATATTACCATTTTCTTCCTATCATTTTCATTATACCTCAGTATTAACAAAAAATACACTGAGCTTTGTCATTTCAAGTGCAAATGTCGACAGTTTATAAGTAAAATAAGAGTCAAAATATGTTGACCAACAGAATTGGAGCTTGAGACTGTAGCTGGGGTTTTTTCTTTCTTTTTTTTGCTGTGAAGCTAGCCACGATTTGGACTTTTTCATAATTATGATCAAGTAACTTTCAAGTTTATTCTAAACAATTTGTGAGTGAATGCTGATGCTGTTACAGTAGCTGTGTGTCAGTAGTTATGTTGCCTGTGTGTAACGGGTTGGCGAGAAGCATGGTTGTTATTCTCTTCTCATCATACGTGTGTTTGTCAAATCAAGTCGGTTATGGAATTGTGATAATACCAACTGTGTTAAAAGAAGTTCAAACTTTGTCCATTTGATTACCATAAAAATGAGAACCACCTGATATATTTACTTTATAAATGCAAAAATATTTGTAAATTGCTGTATAAAGACTACACTGTTAACCCTTTCACCCCTATGTAACTTTAGTAGACTCTACAATGCATTGTTCTGGATGAGTCCATTATGGTCTACAGTGGTGAAAGGGTTTCAAAGGCAAAATTAGTTGCTAAATGAACCAAAGCCACTAAATCAATTGGTGACACGAAAATCTTTTTCGGCTCCTATTGCATATTCTAATTCAATTATGCTGCATATAATTAAATCAAAAATCAAATATTTACCTCTAGTCAAGTGAAAGGAGAAGTACAATGTAACAGTATAATGATCTATCACAGCCTTCTGTACAAGCTGATGCAGCCAGCAATAAGATAAATTTGTTTAGTCAAAGAAAAGGTTCTATGACCCTGCTACATTGACCTAGAACTACGTGTAATTGGTGTGTTAGGTGTCAGAATGATAACATTAAAAGCACTTTACTTTCAACATCTGTTTAACTTGATGAAAGTTTTGATACAAGTCTGGACTTTAAGCTCCATATCTTAGTGATGTGTCCACTTATTTAAAAATAAAAATGAAAATAAAAAATTCAATCTAAACTTTTGTTGCCTGTTTCTTTTCTTTTTTTCTTTTCTGTTGAGAACAGTTTTGATGAATGACTTAATACCACTACAACAGAACCATTTGTAAAGGACTAGGGGCGTTAAGGGTTATTTATAGCCTCATTGGGGATTGGGGATTAGTTGTTAAATTCATAATCTGGAATAAATGAAGTACACAAATATGAAATTTCAAATTTATTCGACAACTGGTTTGGGAGATATGGAGACATAAACACGCATTTTCATGATACAATGTGTTTATATCGTCTGTTGTGCGCTATTTGGTTGAAAATTTGCAATTTCGAAGGAAATTAACTAAACGCTCTTCAATTTTTAAAAGCCTCTGCAGGCAACAAACAAATACATATTTGACGTACTAAAACATTATTATACACGTGTTTGTTCATAGAAAGGAATACTTGTTTGTCACATGCGGAGGCTTTCATTTCTGCATGTTAACTGTCAAAAAACACCATATTTCGGCTATATAATCAAGTTGAAATGTTCACTTTTTCAGAGGCCAAAAATGACAACGCCCTAAGTCCTTTACTTCAGTATACTCCTGTACATGCAAGTCCGTTTTCGGGTGTGATTGGAGCTGACCACTTATACAGCTACAGCTACTCTGACCTGTAAAATGAATACCATGTTGTAAAAGAATAAAATGAAGTAATCCATATAACTATGTACAAGTCGACAAATCTGACACAAAAACCATACTCCCCTGTGTTTTTTGTGTGGAGGTAGATTTATTGTAACGTTTTGATAAAGACTTGCTCCTTTTATTCACCACCCAGTGTGGCAGAATTTAATTGTACATGCAATCACATTCACCCTCTTATTTGCGCTAGGGGGAATTTCTCTTTAGTTCAATTGATAGAATGGAGGACTTGGAAGATGGGGATCGCTGGTGACATCCCCGTGATCTCTGGTTTGGATGAAATGTACTACTCTCTCGTGTTACCTGCTTTGTGTTTTACGTCCTATTAACAGCTATGGTCATTTGAGGACGTGCCCGGTTTTGTTGGTGACGGAAAACCTAGGTAACCGGTGGGAAAACGACCTGCGGCGGTACCTGGTGACTGCCCAATAGGCCTCCATCCAGTGACCTAATGGCAGGGGCTATTAATTGTAGATACCCGGCCCCTCTCCTTGTACACCTTCACTTGTAATATCGGTGTCAAAAGAAATTGGCACCCTGTTTCCTCATTTCATTCCATCAAAATTAATGAAAAATGACATGCTAAGTAGAAACCGAAAAAGTATATTCAATTTCAATAATTGTATTGCTCATTTATAGTTACAGAGTATCTTGAAGGCAAATAACAAAACAACAAATATACAAAGAAACTGCAATAGTTCAAGTTCAAGTTCTTTATTAACTTTGAGTCTTGCGACTCATCAGTGTAACACATATACATGATATATATATATATATATACTTTCTCATAACATTGACAAATATCGAAAATACTAATAAATACACAGACAGACAAAATACTCGGAGAGCATAACTACTTATGTTAATAAAGCTCTTCTTGAATTTGCAGCTTTAATGTATTTGGCCAATTTTGCTAATTCATTTGTGTTTTGTCCGTTAAATAACTGAATTAATTTAAACATGCTCGGTTTTTTACAATAGTACTTTTTTTTAAATTTCTCACGTAAATCAGAATAGTGAACAATAGATAAACTTACACAGAAGCCAGGCCCACGCTCCTCGGATCAAGTGACTGTTTTATATATATATCACATTTATTTCAACATTTATAAAACTTTATGCATTGAAAAGCATCCATAACCTTAGTTATCTCCAGTTTCGTGACAAACAAAGATAGTACATGTAGGTAAATTCAAAAACAATTCAGAACAGCTATACATGTATGTAGTTTAAGGTTTGTCCATAAAGGCCCGGTCACACAGCGCTTTACGGCTTAATCACGACCAAAACACGTCCAAAAGTGGTGTCCCGTGAAGCAGACGATGTTGTTCGCGTTGATGTCGAGTTTAAGACGAGCTACAGTCGATTTATAGACGTGGCAGGACGCGGCAAAAATTTATGAACTGCTCAAAATTTTAGCCCCCGGACAACCACGGTTGGCACACGTGGTAGAGACGTGCAACACACGTGAAACACACGTGCTAATCCGTGTTCCGGCAGTGATTAAAACTTGGGGAGACGCAGTAAGACGCAGTAAGACGCGAAAGTTTAGCGGTCGGTCACGGGCAGAGCACGGTCATCGGACGGGTGTTACGCGTTGGGATCAAGGGAAATAGCGTGTGTTTTGCGGCTTATCACTGATAAGTGTATTTTTCCGCGTACATAGCACTACCTAAGCCCGTTAAACGACGTCTCGAACAAGTGCTAAATACGATTGTTCACTGCCTAATCTCTTCTGTATCTCTTCTGATTTGCGGCCTATAAAAATACCGTAATTTTCTGAGACCTCGGCACTCGCAGCAACTTGACCAGCATCAGCCTCAGGGTCAGGGTCTGGACTGGCAGCACCAGCAGGAGGAGCATGGACCTGGACCTTGTCTGTCACCTGGGCCTGTGATTCTTGACGAGCCTCATCCTCAGCTGGGGCCTTGGTCTTGGCCTTGGTCTTCGTCGGCCTCTTCTTGGCAGTGGAACCATTCTTCCTGGGCATCATTGAAACAGAAAACAGCGAACGAACTTGCGTGGAGGTGTGGACTGTAGAAGATCTGGATCGGCAACTGTGAAGACCAGCCGTGCGCGACCGCTTTTATGCGCAGCAAGCTGCGCTTCCGACGTCGCCGAGCCGCGGTTAACCGTGATTTGGCAGTGCTATGGCAGTGGAGTGCCCGTTTTACGTCCGCGCTGAACACGTGATCAGCAGTGCTACAGACGCGATGAGGCCTCGGTTAGCCGCGGGAACTTGCCACTTTTTCCCGCGTTTAAACACGTGCGAACCTATTTTTAACCTTACACGTGGCTGGACGTGGTTAGCTGTGCTTAGGCTGTGCCTAGGCAGTGCTTTAGCAGTGGAACAGCCGCCGACGGCCATTCCCGTACAAAGCACGGCCAAGCCAAAATTGACCAAAAATTACCACTTACGACCACGTCCACCAGATTTTCATAATTTTTTGTACGTGATTTAGACGTGGACTGCTGTGTGACCGGGCCTTAGCTGTCATGCGAAATGGTCTAGTGGGAGGACAAGTGGCGAAACTCGTAGCTCGCATCCTAAGCTTATATCATTAATAGGAAATGCACAACACCGCCTGTATGTATAACATGAAGGAGTTTGTTGAGAAAACCAACGGTATATGTGTAGCTCATATTGAAGAGGTTGCTTTTATGACGATAGTGCACTAGTGTCCCGGCGAGGCAGACCATATACATTGTATATAGATATCATACTAGGTACACGTACATCAGTAGAATTCAAACAACAGAGATGGTCAAAGGACAACGATAACAGCTGATCAGATTTCAAGGTTACTTAGTTCTATCTGACCAATACATATGTCTCATTGAAAGCCGTATATGATAGTAACAGCAACAAGACGGATCTGCCATGGGATCACCGGTTTCCCCCATGGTTGTCAACCAATTTATGGAAACAAAGCATTGGTTCCCAATTTGTCTGGTTAAGATAATAATAATGAATATTAATTTTCCCTAAGAACAAAAAACAAAGAATGGATAATAGGCGTACAGAGGTTATCTATTGCGTCTTGGTGAAGAAGGGCGTAAGAGGTTATATATCCGGAAACAGTTCAAGATAATTCGCAGCATCTCCAAAACAAATCTAAGAGAGTGGACAAGTATATGGCAATCCAATCTTCCACCTGCCACTTTATATATAGGAGAAACCGAAAGATTGCATGTCACCCGGATCAAGGAGCATCGGAGGTACACGGAACAAAGGACTTTAATAGATTTAGCAGGGTAGCAAGAACGCCAAACAGCCAAAATATAGGCATGACGGGAAGGTGTCATCTGTCTTCCATCTACGACAGGGCGTCGCATGGTCGAGTGATGTAGCGACGCAACCGATCGTGTACCAGAGAGTAAGCAAAACAGACAGATATAATGAAAAGATCTTGATTGAGCTTTGTACAATGTTGATGATGGGGGAGCATCAATTTATGTCCATAACCGTAAACCGTAGTTTGTATTATAGTATTTTTCATTTCTCTATACACTGAAAATATAAATTGTTGATAAACACAGGTGATCAGTTTGCCATCGACAAAACAGCTAGTTTCCACTAAATCTGCGTATACGACCAAATGCATGAATATGTTTCACCACGGAATTAGATTATCTAAGTCCGTGGTTTCACTAGCTATATGTCCCTTTTTGCCAGCTTCATTCCTTTACAGTAACTTCTAAAGCTCAACCGTCATTCATCAGGTTCCAAGATAGATTACTCTACTAGCTACTTCAGTCGAATCTACAGAAACTTTCATTTCTGTCTAAAACTGTAACGACTCCACCACGAG